CTGAGTTACAAGTGTTTTTCACTCGTGTAATTAATTTAGCTATTTATTGCATTTTGTTCATTGAAAGCGTATCCTGAGCTTATTTCATGCTCTTCGCTCGGTACGACACGCATCGATTTCCGATATGTTTTCTAAATACGTGAGACATACTACAATTAGAAATAATCGAAAAATTAGCAAAACGTATGCTGAAATTAGTTCAAGAAGTAATTAAATAAAGCGGTGGATACATTAATGAAAAGAAGATTCAACTTTCTTTTATAAAATTTACGTTACTTCTATTGCAACGTAAAATACATGATGTCCCAAAAATGTCTCTAAATTCGAAAATGGTAAGTTTCTGAGGAAATTTGAAGTAAGTTTTTCCTTAACGAAAATGCAGTCCGCGGCTTTGTTTACGAGTTATTAACGAAAAACGCTGACCAATGAGAGGCGAGCTCAGCTTGCGAGAGGCGGCCCAGTCAACGAACGTACGACGCCCAGTTCCGCTGATTGGCTCGGCCGCCTAGCGCTAAGCGAACTTGCCTCTCATTGGTCAGCGTTTTTCGTTAATAACTCGAAAACAAAGCCGCGGATTGCATTTCCGCTCAGGAAGAAGTTACTTCAAATGACCTTAGGAATCACCCCTTTCCTGGTATTAACATAATCATAGGCCATCCTTGTATATACCCGTTACAGTTTAATATAATAAACTTTGAAATAAATTAGAAAAAATTGAAGCAATTTTCTATCGGGTCTCCATATTCATTGAATTTTCAGTAACTGTCCTAATACTTTTGCAGGGGAGTGTACATCGATGTTTTCGATTCCAGCAACAAACAAACAAAGTTTCAATAAACACAAAGGTAAAGACACGGGATAACTCTTAGGTTACATGGAAAAACACCGCATGTAATATGTTTTCATGTTTTAGATATTGTCGCTTAGAATTCTGGTTTATTTACTTATTTGTTTATGAATGGGTTAAACCCTTCGGTGTAATTAAATACAGATAAAAGACTTTATACGCAGCCATAGCAGGAGGCCAGCAGTCGCGTTACATTTCTTCCAGAAATAAAATGTGAAGTAAAGAAATTATCTGCCAAATTTAGTTACATTAAAAAATATTCTGTTTAAGCTGCTGTATTGGCCATAATCGGTTCTAATCGGTGAGGACCGACGTGAAGTAATTAAATGGAACTTTGATCAAATATCAGGACAACGGTAGAAACCGTTTAAAGTTTCGAACGCAAAAAGTAGATCGAAACGTATTTTACGACGCTCAAGTGATCGTAGCTTAAAACGAGATAACAGAGCTAATAGACAATAAATAATCGAATATAACTGATCACCAATGCTTTTTTGGCATTAATAACGTTTCAAATTGCATAATTCCGTTGAATCCATGGAATTCGTGTTCCAACGATTTTCGTTCTGATAAACACGTAAATCGAATGTGCTGTACGATTTCAATGAATGCATTGACGAAAATGTTCACCGAAATTGCGAGAAGCGGCGCTTCTCCGTGCAGCCGGAGAACCATCGCCGATGACTAATTTCGCGATGAAAACTCGTGTCGAAAGTGTATCGTTTGGCCGAGCCACTCGGGGCGAGTGAAACCAGTCGGCGCATCCGCTCTCTCGGCAGCGCTTCGGCCGGAGTCTTTGGCTCGGGACATTATTTTCACGGCGCGGCGCGCCGCATCGATTCGACGGGGAACGGACGGAGCCGGCGCGGTTCGGCGAGGACGAACACGTGCCCCGAGATAACGAGGTGGAAATGAAAGGTAACGAGTGATGATGACTATTAGCGGGATCGCCGCGTGGGGCGGGCTTAGGATCGGGCTGGCCCGGGCCGAGGCGAGCTGCACCGAACCCGGACCACCGGAACTAGCTCGAGGAAGATTTTTCACGAATTCGGGATTGCATATTGAGCGGAACAGCGTAGACGAACCGCCTCTCGGCCGATCTAGAGAATACTTGGATTCGATTGGAAGAGAGCAATTCCGAAGAAAGTGATCGCGACAGATTCGAACGGATTCGAACGAATTCGAAAAGATTCGAAAGGCGGACACAAGGAGCGACGGCATCGCTATCCGCCGCAGTGCCGCGCCGCTTTCTAGGGGTTTTATCGAGTCGATCGATCGGCTTGTTGCCGCGAGTTACGACAGATTCAACGGTGATGGTGCGCGGCGATTGCTGCACCAGCGACGGCTGCACCCGGCGCTGACGCGGCGAAATCGGCGTGCATTACGAAAGTTAACTGGAGCACGAATCGACTTTCGATTCGGTGGTAAGGGGGCCCCGTGTGCTCCCGGCTCCCGCTTTGTTCGCGCACGCGTTCACTGTTCGCTGAAAACCGAGAGTGCTCTCTTCGCAAATCCCAGAAATGGATAGATGGATGTAGAGATAAATAGATAGAGAGAAAGAGAGAGACAGAGAGGGAGAGACAGAGAGAAAGAGAGAGGGAGAAAGGGAGCGGGAGAGAGGGAGAGAGAGGCAGGGAGAGAAAGAGAGTGAGGCAGGGAGAGAAAGAGAGTGAGGCAGCGAGAAGGAGAGAGAGAGGCAAGGAAAAAAAGGGAGAGAGAGGCAGCGAGAGAGAGGGAGAGAGAGGCAGAGAGAGGAAGAGGAAGAGAAAGAGAAAGAGAGAGAGAGGGGGGAAGAGAAAGAGAGGGAGAGACAGAGAGAAAGAGAGAGAGAGGGAGAGACAGAGAGAAAGAGAGAGAGGAGAGAGAGGCAGGGAGAGAAAGAGAGAGAGGCAGCGAGAAGGAGAGAGAGAGGCAAGGAGAAAGAGGGAGAGAGGGGGAGAGAGAAGCAGCGAGAGAGGGGGAGAGAGAGGCAGCGAGAGAGAGAGAGGTCCTTTGCTAGACACATTAACCCTTCGCACTCGAAAGGTGACTCCGCGGCACCGCTAAAAATTGTTTCGTCACGTTTCAAAATAACTTTTAAATCATCAACATTGTTTATACTTGAAAAAGCTAAGTTAAAAGTCTAATATCATCCGTTTAATATTCGTATAGCTGTCTAAAATATCTGAGAAAGTATTACATCGGTCACAAGACTGTGATTTAGAAAAACTATTTTCGACTTAAAAGTTAAAATGTCTCCGAGAGCAAAGGGTTAATAACGTGCAAATTTCGTCCTGCCATGTACTTGGATTTATCAGCAGACTGTGACGACTTTTTAAAAATGTCTCAACATTTCTCTCGTTCGGTTAGATTACTGCACGGTCATCTATGAACTATGAAAGCGGATCGAAAGTATTCAACACCGATTTTTGCGATTTCGTGCCTCCCGCATGGTCTGTCCAATGGCATTCGACGACCATAATCATGAATACCCCGTGCGCTCGAATTTAAACTTCGCCCTCTTCAAACGCGCCGCACTCTTTACTTGATATCTCTTATCTGTGTTCAAAATCATCAAACACTATGCTATTTCAAATAGAAAAGAATCAAACAAACGATCACAGTCCAAACAGAATTTCTGGAAATGTAAACGTCTTCGGCGAACGGTTGTATTTCTTTTCCACCCCACAGCACGTTTTCCATTGTTTCCTATCCGACGAGATTTCTTTCCGCACTTGAATAAACATCGAACACCTGATCTGCCCGATTGTAATTTCCCAAAAGGAGTCCGCCGGGGCCCCGAGATCTCACCATCGGCGAAGAAAAGTTTCCGAAGTTTCCGTCGCTTGTAAAGCCGACAGAGCCGAGCGACGGCAGAATTTCGTGCGACGCGGCAGGCGAAGAACGAACGTGGAAATATCGCGGCCGATATATCGGTTCGCTCTTTTGGTCCATCGAAGGAGTTTTGCAGCGGCGGCGGACTGCGAACGTTCAAGCATTTTCGCCGGGAAAGCCGGCGAACATTTCCACGGCCAAGTCGGAGAACTTGAGTGCCGCGGGGCTCGGGAGGAACAAGATATCTAGTTGCAGGTCGTTCACATCGCGAGGGGACGACCAGTAAAAATAGAACGAGAGCGCCAGGAGTGTTCGAGTGCGCGAATACGCGAATACGCGTACCAAGACCGGACGAGAACCAAACGCCATCAGACGCGAATCCCGTCGGCTCGCCTCGTGCACCGCCAACAACCACGCGAAATCCGACCCGCGCGAGGCACCGGCATCGCAGCGCAATTTCGTGATCTAATTCAACTTAATTTCATTTAATTAGCATGAACGTCAGACGACCTTTTAATTTTTCGACGAAAAAGCAACATCGTAACAATAATAATAAAATAATAATAGAATAATAATAGCAACAATATGAAAATAATAGAATAATAACAGTAATAATAATAATAATAATAATAACAATGACAACAATAATAATAATAATAGTATAATAATAATAGTATAATAATAATAATGAAGATAATATAAATTACAACGTACAAAGCACACACAAACTAAACATCCCAGCCGGTGGAAACATTATAGAGTTGATTTTGAAATTGATTAGCATCGTCAATGAAGAACTCTATGTACAGCGTGTCCCAAAAATGTCTCGCAATCCGAAAGTGGCGGGTTCTTAGGATCATTTGAAGCAACTTTTTCCTTTGCAAAAATGTTCTCCGAGGCACCGTTAACGAGTTATTAACGAAAAACAGTGACCAATAAGAATCGAGTACGGCTGACGCGAGGCTCAATTCCGCTCATTGGCACGGTCGCCTCGCGCCAGCCGAGCTCGCCTCTCATTGGTCACTGTTTATCGTTAATAACTCGTTAACGGTGCCTCGGAGAAAATTTTTCTAAAGGAGAAAGTTGCTTCGAATGACCCGAGGAATCCACCACTTTCGGATTGCGAGACATTTCTGGGACACTCTGTATATCGTTAGTGCATAACTGTTAGCCAAATTGCTGTTCAAAGGATCAGTCTAGAGAGAACGAGAGACATGTTGAGGCACAAAAACTCGATTGGTTCTCGTAAAAGATCGTGGAACTTAAACTCAGGTTTTACAAATGATTTCTCGGAATTGTCTAGATTAAAAATTGGGCAAGATCGTTGGATGGTACGTACCTGCGTGTAACACCAATTCTCGGCCACAGGGGTGTTCACTTCCGGCGGTGGAGGGCTCGGTACGCGGCTTACTGCCATACTACTGCTGCTGTGCAAGTTCGAGCTGACCCGCGATGTTTGAGGCGCACAGTCGCTCACCGCAAGTCTGCGACAGAAAACGACACCGGACGATTAGAACCAACGTTCGCAGGCTGTCGACCGGTTTGGAATAGAGCGCAGCTTTCTTCCAGCCGAATCTCGTTGGTCGTTCGCGAGAGGGTTCGTAGAATCGTCGGTCAAAGATCGGCAATTTAATTTAATTTAATTTATTTCAATATACGGGTGAACAGCTATTTTTACGATAACAGAAATAGAAAAATATTTTGTTTAGTACGTCGAGAAATCAGTAAATCGGATAATCAGTTTCTAAAGATTTGTTTTCTATTTTGCACCACTGGCTGCAAATATACAGAGTGTCCCAAAATTATGGTACTTCTAATAAGGGGTTCCTGAGATCATTTGAAGTAACTTTTTCCTTAGCGAAATTGCAATCCGAGGCTTCGTTTACGAGTTATTAGCGAAAAACAGTGACCAATGAGAGGCGAGGTTGGCTGGCGCGCGGCGGCCGAGCCAACGAGCGCACGGAGCTCGGTTCCGCTCATTGGCCCGGTCGCCTAGCGCCGAGCGAACTCGCCTCTCATTGGTCAGTGTTTTTTTTATGAATAATTCGTTAACGATGCCTCGGAGAACATTTTTGTAAAGGAAAAAGTTGCTTCAAATCGCCTCAGGAATCCCTCATTTCTCGGAAATACCATAATTTTTGGTATAATAATATAATAATTTTTTAATTTTTAATTTGTCAACCGCGCTAAATAATAAACAAATTGGAGCATTAAAATTCCTAGTTTATTTGAAAGCGAAGGTCGACTACGGTTGATCCGCCTCTGCAACGATGGGACTCGAAGAGGCTCGAACCTAGGAGAAGGTCGGATGAAATCGACGAAGGGGATGGAGATGGAAAAGGTTATTTATTATAGGCAAGGAAGAATCGCGAGAGGGGCATGGGTGAGAAGGGTGTGCAGGGCTGGCGATGGTGTTCTCAAGCATGTACAGCTCGAGGAACAATTGGACGAGCATCGTCGACTCTCGAGTACGTTAGCCTCCGGGGGCGCAGGTTCATCGGACCCGAGCCGATCGGTTGCTGACGATCGGGAAATCGAGATACGCCGCTTTGTCCAAATCCATCGATTCTTATCTGCCGGCCAATCGATACGCTAACGCGATAAGACTGATGGATCACCGAGTTAATCCTTCGGCTCTTCGACGCACCTTGCGCGCTTGTCCCAGGGATTTCCCTGCACTCAACCCCCGCGAAAACTGGGCCACTTTTATGGACTCTCTTATAGTCTCTTAAAGGGCTTTCTCCTCCAACTTTTCGTCTTTTCTTACTTACGCGAGATAAACGAGCGAGTATTTTAGAAATATGGGACAATCTATGGATATCGCGCTTGGATAAATCGTGTTTTCTTTAATGTGAATAGGGTACATTCGTTCATCGATTTTTTCAACCATCCACTGCACTCTTTTAAATAGAATTTTTTGGCGCATTACAAGGCTAACGCTTAATATAATTTTGCAACGTTGTTATATATATCCGCATATATTTAATGTATTAATTTAAGAAATTGCGAATTAATTTAAGGAATCAATCCATTCTAAACTTCTGTATTCTTTGATTTTGTAACTAATNATTGCAATCCGAGGCTTCGTTTACGAGTTATTAGCGAAAAACAGTGACCAATGAGAGGCGAGGTTGGCTGGCGCGCGGCGGCCGAGCCAACGAGCGCACGGAGCTCGGTTCCGCTCATTGGCCCGGTCGCCTAGCGCCGAGCGAACTCGCCTCTCATTGGTCAGTGTTTTTTTTATGAATAATTCGTTAACGATGCCTCGGAGAACATTTTTGTAAAGGAAAAAGTTGCTTCAAATCGCCTCAGGAATCCCTCATTTCTCGGAAATACCATAATTTTTGGTATAATAATATAATAATTTTTTAATTTTTAATTTGTCAACCGCGCTAAATAATAAACAAATTGGAGCATTAAAATTCCTAGTTTATTTGAAAGCGAAGGTCGACTACGGTTGATCCGCCTCTGCAACGATGGGACTCGAAGAGGCTCGAACCTAGGAGAAGGTCGGATGAAATCGACGAAGGGGATGGAGATGGAAAAGGTTATTTATTATAGGCAAGGAAGAATCGCGAGAGGGGCATGGGTGAGAAGGGTGTGCAGGGCTGGCGATGGTGTTCTCAAGCATGTACAGCTCGAGGAACAATTGGACGAGCATCGTCGACTCTCGAGTACGTTAGCCTCCGGGGGCGCAGGTTCATCGGACCCGAGCCGATCGGTTGCTGACGATCGGGAAATCGAGATACGCCGCTTTGTCCAAATCCATCGATTCTTATCTGCCGGCCAATCGATACGCTAACGCGATAAGACTGATGGATCACCGAGTTAATCCTTCGGCTCTTCGACGCACCTTGCGCGCTTGTCCCAGGGATTTCCCTGCACTCAACCCCCGCGAAAACTGGGCCACTTTTATGGACTCTCTTATAGTCTCTTAAAGGGCTTTCTCCTCCAACTTTTCGTCTTTTCTTACTTACGCGAGATAAACGAGCGAGTATTTTAGAAATATGGGACAATCTATGGATATCGCGCTTGGATAAATCGTGTTTTCTTTAATGTGAATAGGGTACATTCGTTCATCGATTTTTTCAACCATCCACTGCACTCTTTTAAATAGAATTTTTTGGCGCATTACAAGGCTAACGCTTAATATAATTTTGCAACGTTGTTATATATATCCGCATATATTTAATGTATTAATTTAAGAAATTGCGAATTAATTTAAGGAATCAATCCATTCTAAACTTCTGTATTCTTTGATTTTGTAACTAATGGATAACTTCCTGTACAAGTTTAATAAATAAATACATAAATAAATGAAGAAAGAAACAAGTAAATATCTAAATAACTAAATAGTTATATCTAAATAATAAATAGCTATAAATAGCTAAATAGCTATAAATAGCTAAATAGCTATAAATAGCTAAATAGCTATATCTAAATAATATCTAAATAACTAAATAACTCACTAAATAAATCACTAAATAACTAACTAAATAAATAACTAAATAACTAACTAAATAAATAACTAAATAAATAACTAAATAAATGAAAAGCAAACAAATAAATAAATATCTTGGTTCGTACGAGTTCATCCGCTTCGACTTATCGCAGTTATTACGTGAATTCATTTTTCAAAAATCTCCCATAAACATGTCTTGCTTTCGATAAATGAATAAACATAAAAACAAAAGAATGCAGAAAATTATCGACATTCGGTAAATACGGGCTTTGGAAGGCCCGGTAAGTTTTGTACGAACAAGCTCGTAGAATTCTCGAAAAAATGAAAAAATATGTAAAGATGCATGCAATTAGATTAGAAAGTCGGAAAGTTCGCTTGAAATATATTACGTGAATTCAATGAAACGAAGAACTCCATGAAATGTGAAACGAACGTCTCGTACAACCTAATAAATTATTTCTCAAACAAACAATATTATTAGGAAGTTCGTCTCGCATTTCACGTACATACGAAAGTTCGTTCCACGAGATTCATATAAAAGATTTGTCTTCGCGCGACGTTTCGCGTGCGTGGGTCGCGTGAAACGGGTCGATCCATAGATCCACGGATCCACGAGTGTATCGGAACCGTGGGCCCGCCACTTGGGTCTCCGGGGTCTCTCGTTTCCCACAAAACTGCTCGCGTTACGTTCACCTCGAGCCTCGGCTGGAATCACGACGGAACCGTTTATCTCCTTCTCTTTCGTTCCCTCTCCCTCCCGGCGAAATGTCGCCGGTGTCGTCGTCCCTCTCTCTCCCCCCCACTCTTTTGCTCTCTCGTGTCTCTTCCCGACAAGCGAGCGTATAAGTATCCAGCGAGAAGGCAACGTGGGAGTAACGTGGAAGTGAAAGTTAGAGCGGGCTTAGACGGGGCCGAGGGAGGGGAGGACAGGTTGCGTAAAAGGCAACCAACCGCTGATACGTCGACGAAGAAGACATTTAATCCTCGCGCGCCGTCCGGCTAATCGCCGCTCCAGCAATCTCCGATCAAGGAAGGAACGGAGAAAGGGGAGAAAAAAGGGTTCGAAATTCGGCTTTTCCCGACGCAAATTTCCTGTTTACTGTCTGCTCGGCGGGAGCGACGCTTTCACGGGCGTCGCGCCGGCCCGGCAAAGATTCGTCGTCGGTTTTCTTGGCTCGGCGAGAGCAGCCCGATGGTAGGATTTCTCTCGTACGCCGGCTGGGCAGCCCATTGGAAAGTGAAAGGAGAAAAGGAGAGAACGAGAGTCCTTTTCCGTGTGGCCAGGGCCTCGATTTATTCGTCGGAAAAGGTCCGCGTCGCGTCGTGGATCGGCGTGCTACCGTAAGACAGCGGAGCCGGTTACTCTAGGGTCACCAATTGCTCTGTGCCTTTGATTTGTTTTCAATCAATTTCACAATTAACTTCACGTTTATCGAACAAGGTCTATTAACACTTTGCACTCGAAGCTGTTTTAACTGTAAATATAAAATTATTTTTCTAACTTATAGTGTTTTTATTTTATACGGCAAAATGCATTTTATGCATATGAAATTGACTCTTGGGTGTCACGCAACAATTACACTCTTAACAATGTTTTTAAATCTAAACTTTGTCGATATAAAAATTATCTTAAAACGCGACGTAACAAATTTTAGTGGTCAGAGTCACCACTCGAGTGCGAAGGGTTAAATTTTGTAATCCCTTTACTTTGCTCGTTTTTGAATTTGTTTTCATGCTTAATTAACTTTGTATTTATCGAACGATGTTATATGGCAAAATGCATTTCATGCATATGAAATTGATTCTTGGGTGTCACGCAACAATTACACTCTTAACAATGTTTTTAAATCTAAACTTTGTCGATATAAAAATTATCTTAAAACGCGACCTAACAAATTTTAGTGGTCAGAGTCACCACTCGAGTGCGAAGGGTTAAATTTTGTAATCCCTTTACTTTGCTCGTTTTTGAATTTGTTTTCATGCTTAATTAACTTTGTATTTATCGAACGATGTTATATGGCA